AGAAAGAAAGAAAGAGAAAAAGAAAGAAAAAGGAGAGAAGGAGGTGAACAGGGCTCTCCCTTGGGCTGGGCAATATGGACCTGCCCCCATGCAAAGAAAAATGAAAGCACAGATGGCCTCAGACTGCTTGGACCTATGCCCCACAAATTTCCCACAGGTTCAAGGAATACTTTTCCCTGTGCTCTTGTGCTGACATCTGACACTCCACACATGCTGGTGTATCCACTGTCATGGATATCACTCACATGCTGCCCTCTGGACAACAGTCCTGGGATGTGGGAACTGAAAGGGGCAGATGGTGAGAGGAAAGAGTGAGGCTGCTGGCTTAGGAAGGGTAGCATCTCTCCCTGCATCACACCCAGGAGCTGCCAGGTTCAAATTGTTGGGGTGCAACTCTATGCTCTCCTCACCTCCAATCTACCCTTATGTCCTCTAGTTATATAATGAGGAAATGCCAAAGGGAGGACAGAATAGGGATTTGTAAGGCCCACAAAGCCCACATTGGCCCCCATCTCAAGCTCTTCTCCCACCCTGATCAGCATCCCCACTCCCTGTCATCTGGGATCCAGAGCCAGGCCTCCCACTACCACCACCCTGGGCTCCTTGACTCACCTTTCTAGAACATGGGTACCTCCTCTTTTATAGACTGCTGCCTTTGCTGCTGACTTACTGTATGACTCTGGCCCATTGTTCAATCTCTGTGGCCCTGAGGAAAGCTCCGTCCCCACAGGACATATTACTTTTCTGGCAGGCAAGGACTTCCAACTGAGGCAGTGTACATGTGGCAGGGAGAGATAGGAAGCTGGCAGCCAGCAGCTTCTACATCTAAGGAGAGTGCATGGTTCCCTCCTTCCCTGTCTGGGAGGTTGAAGGGGAAGAACCAAGGCCTTAGCTTGCCCCTGCCTCCTGCCCCCTTGTAGATACTGCCTTAACACTCCCCCTACCCTTGGCTGTGGCTTTCACCCAGCCAGGTTTCTCCGCGCTCACTAATTTATTTCCAGGAAGGTGTGTGGAAGACATGAGCCGTGTATAATATTTTTTTTAACATTTCCATTGCAGTATTGACCATCATCCTTGGTTGTGTATCGTGTAACACAAATAATGATATTAAAAGCATCAAACAAGCCAGCCTCAGCTCCCTACCTGGGGTGTGGGCTAGGGGCAAGTGGGCTGGGAAGGGACAAGAACTGACCCTCTGGATGCACATGTCATTCTACCTCCACTTATGGGTTCCTAGGAGTACCACTGACCTGCTGTGTGACCCTAGGTGAGTCACGAACCCTCAGAACCTCTATTTCTCTCCAGGGGCTCTCTGAACTTTTGGAAATTGTACTCTTTTGAGGGGCTCTAGGCAGGAAGGGGCTGGGAGTGGGGAGGAAATTAGACTCTCCCCAGGGAGGGGACTGGGTCAAGTGATATCATAATGGGCAGTGCCCATCCTGGAGAGAAGAGCAGAGTGGAGTAGGAGCAGGAAGGTTGTGTGGGAGGAAAGCTGAGAGATCCTCTATAGGAGGGGGTCACAGTAGCTAGGGGCACCTGCCAGGCTGGAGGTGTGGGCTATCTAGTGGGAGGGGTGGTCACTGATGTCTACCAGGAGTCCTTGATAGGTAGAGCCCACCACAGCATCCCTAAGAACTCACCATGTTCCTCTTCTCCCGTAAGACCAAGACCCCCATCAGCACCTACAGTGACTCCTACAGGGCTCCCACCTCCATCAAGGAGGTCTATAAGGACCCACCTCTGTGGGCCTGGGAGGCCAACAAATTTGTGACCCGGGTAAGTGGAGGTTTGGGGAGGAGTAGGCCAGAGTATATGGCCATGTGTGTCTGGATGACTGGCAAAGTGTGGCTGTCACTATGTGTTTGTAATTATTTATAGCTTTGTGCATATGTGTCATTTATTCATTTGTCTAGGCACAAAATGTACAATGGTATGTAAAAAAAGTGTAAGATCTTACCTTCATGGATCTATACCAGGATAGGAGGTAGAAAGAGAGAGATAATAAGAGTTTTATAAATTGTCAGAAATGCTATAAAGTAAATAAACAGGGTATGAAAATAGAAAGGAGTGGGTAGGTCATGGAAGATCTCTTTCTTTCCATTTTACAGTGCTGAGTGCTCTACCACTGAGTTACAGCCCTAGCCTAGATCTCTTTCTCTCAAGGTGACATTGAGCTGAGTATGAAAAGATGAGAAAGAAATAGGCTTGTGAAGAGCTGAAAGAATAGAAGAACTGAAAGTTCTACCAGAGTGATCAGAAAGTATAAAGGCCAGTGGTTGCCTGTAGGATAGGCCAGAAAATATCCTATAGGCATGTCTTAATGCACGTTTATCACCATCTCTTTGTGTGTGTCTGTGTTTGAAGATGAGCAGCCAAGTGGGTCTATGTAGCTTTCACCAAAGGGAGAAGAAATCTGGGAGTCTAACTGTAACTCTGTAACTGGCCACGTGTACCTTTCAACAAAACTTTGCTGAGTATTTTCTTGTGTAGGCTCTAGGGATACATACAAAAAGGAAGGGCCAGCCCTTGCCTTTAAGGAGCTCTCGGCAAACAGGTAAGCAAAGTCAGGTTGCTATATGTGGGCCATGTAGAGCAAGTGCTGACTGGAATTCCAGGAAGGGATAAGCACTCCCAGGTCCTGGAGTCTGCTGAGTGACTCTTCCTACAGAAGAGTTTTGAGAAAAGGCAGCCTAAGGGCCCTACCTGGAACTGAAGCTGTTAGAGCAGAAGGAGAGAGATCATAGGCTGCAGACCAAAAAGGGCCCTTAGATTATGTTGAGGAACATGGACAAAGGCTCCAGGTTCCTGAGTTTGAGAGTATCATAGCTGAATTGTGATTTAAGGCACTGCAGCCACAGTGTCACAGAATTAGACAGGTTGGGACTGAGGACATGAAGGCCAGTGAGAAGTGAAAAGAAAGAAGAGCCAGGCATAGTGGGACATATCTATAACCTCAGCTACTCTAGAGGCTGAGGTGGGAGGATCACAGTTCAAATTAATAATAAATAATAAATAAAGGCTGGGTGGATATATCTCCCAGCACTTGCCTAGCACACACAAGGTCCTGGGTTTGATCCACAGTACTACAAACAAAAAGGAAGATGAAGGATGTGGGTAAAAAATAACAACAAAAAACTGCAACAATTTTTTAAAAAGTGATTTTTTAATTGGAAAATTTTTAAATAATATATTTCATCTAACAACAAAATAAATATATGCTCAGGGCTGGAGTCGTAGCTCAGTGGTAGAGCGCTAGCATGTGCGAGACCCTGGGTCCGATCCTCAGCATCACATAAAAATAAATAAATAAAATAAAAGGTATTATGTCCATCTACAACTAAAAAAATATTTTTTAAAAAATATTTATGCTCAATGCAGAAAATGGGAATAACTCAGAATCATAAGAAAAATGATCCAGCCCCAAGTATAGTGGTGCACGTCTGTAATCTCAGCAGCTCAGGAGGCTGTAGCAGAAAGATGAAAGTTCAAAGCTAGCCTCAGCAAACTTATTGAGGTCCTAAGCAACTGAACAAGAGCCTGTCTCAAAAAAAAAAAAAAATTAAAAAGGGCTGGGGATGTGGCTCAGGRATTGAGCTCCCTTGAGTTCAATCCCTGATCCATAATCCCACTGTCCAAAATAACCACTATTAATATATTATTAAATGCCCTTTTAGGAGGTAATTTTTTTACAAAAATGGCATCATGTTGTACTAATATTTTAAATCTTGCATTTTTCAAATAGCCTGATATAGGGATATTTTCCTGTTTCAAAAATACTTTGCAGGGGCTGGGGCTGGAGCTCAGCGATTGCGCACTTGCCTGACATGTGTGAGGCACTGGGTTTGATCCTCAGCACCACATATAAACAAATAAATAAAATAAAGATCTATCAACCATTAAAAAATTTTTAATTAAAAAAATACAATGTAATTTTATTGATGACAGAATTCTTTGTACAAATGTGCCATAATGTATTTGAGGAATCTTATCAGAAATTTAGATTATTTATAAAATATTGCCAGTATAATCAGTCTTCTACTTATATCTTTGTACACATCTTCAACTATTTCCTTAGGATAAATTCCAATATGTGAAACCATTTGAAGAAAGGACATACACATTTTTTAAATTTTTGATATATGCCTCAAATTGCTAAAATAAGGGATGTAATAATTTATATTCCCTCAAGCAAAATATGAGAGTACCTGCCTACATTTTCACTCTCCATAAGAAGGAATTTTAAGAAGTAGATTGACAGATCTTAGTGATTACCTTAATATAAAGCCGGAGAGTTTAGGATGACTCCTGGATTTTGGGCTCTGGCAGCTAGAGGAAAGGTAGTGCTACCAAAATGTGGTTTGGAATATCAGACTGGGGACTTGGAATTCATTTTGGGACACAAATACTTGAGATCATCCAGGAAAAGATACCTGGTAGGTAATTAGATACATAGTACTTGCCTGAAGCAAAGGAAAGAGGCCTGGGCTACAGAGAGAGCTCAAAGTTTTCATCATATAAATGGTAGCTGAGTAATAGGAGTGGATGAGTTTGCCCAAGAAGAGTGAGAAAATGGCCAAGGACATTGGTGAATATCAATATTCAAGAATCATAAAAGAAGACAGAGATTTATAGCCAGAAAGGAGGAAAAATCTTAAGAAGACACCAATAAACACTGAATTATTAGACAACGGTCAGTGTGAAATGCTGTTAACACAGAAAGGGATCTCTCAGAAATAGTAACTATTGGTAACCTGGCCAGACAGCTTTAGTGCAGAGAGAGAAGTGAATCAGATTACCATGGGAGTAAAAATGAAGGAAAGGCTTCTGTGTCTGGCAGTGTGGTGGATGATCTGATGTCCCCTCCTGCTTCAAAACAACTAAGTCTTGCATTAGAATTAATTCTTATTTTGTTTTGGACTCTTACGGGGGTGAATAGTAAATATACTAACAACAAAATAAATATATACTTGATGCAGAAAATGGACAGAGGACAAGCATTGCCCTGAGGGCAAATGCCAATATTGGCATTATAATCTGGAGTTTTAAACGTTAAAATAGCAGAGAGGTGGAGAAACTAAATCTGTTAATTTCCAACTGAAAAAGAAGGTTAATATCTCTTGCTCCTTGCCACCTCCTACACACACACATACACACACACACACACACACACACACACACACACACACGAGTAATCTATATCTTCTGTGGTAAAAAACATCCTCAATGTAGGTTTCCAGGCATCCTTCAGAGTAAGGCCAGACACAAGCTCACAATAAGAAATATAGGAAAACAAACAGCTGGTATAGCTCAGTGATAGAGTGTTTGCCTAATGTGCACAAGGCCCTAGGCTCAATCCCTGTACGACAAGGAAAAGAGAAATCCACCATATTACAGAATCAGCAGTAACAACAAATGGCAGACTTAACTACCAAAGTTTTCAGATAATGAAATTAACAAAGAATACCAATATTTTTCATTTTTGAAGTAAAATCAACAAGAAAACATTCTTAAAATTGAGCAAATAAATGTACAGATGCGTAGAAATTTTAGAACTGAAAAATGTTTTAGTAAAACCCAAAACTTAGTGGATAGGTTAGAGATGAGATTAAACATCCTTGAAAAGTTTCAGTGAGATGAAAGATAGGATGAATGAAATTTCCCAGAATGCAGTACAGAAAGGCAAAGAGATGGAAAATATGAACAAAACATTAAGCAATATGAAAGAAAAAATGAGAAGGTCTCGGGGGTTAAAAAAAAAGATGGTGAAATGAGATGGACATCACTACCCTAGGTACATATATGAAGAAGACACAAATGGTATGAATATACTTTGTGTACAAGCATAGATATGAAAAATTGTGTTCTATATACATAATATGAATTGTAATGCATTCTGCTATCATATATAACAAATTAGAATTAAAAAAAAATTTTTAAATGAGAAGGTCCCACACTCATCTAATCAGAGTCCCAGAAAGGAAGAGGAGAGGGGGGGGAAAAAAAAGGGAGAATAAGCATTATCTAACAAGAAATAGGCTTAGGATTTTCCAGAGCTAATGAAATGAACAAATCCCAGAAAAGAGATTCCACAGTCAGATGCCTTGCAGTGAAACTATAGAACACCAGCTTAAAATCAAGCAAAGAAAAAGTTTCACTGTCATCCTTTCAAGAACAAAGACAATTACAGGAAAACAAAAATGGAAAGGTTGGACTGAAGGTCATTAGCTCCCTGTTAGAGCACTTTTTAGCATGCATGAGACCCCAGATTCAATCCCTAGCACCCCCATATCTATCTATCTATCTATCTATCTATCTATCTATCTATCTATCTATCTATCTATCTATCTATCTCTATCTCTCTCTCATACACACACACACATACACACACAAATTTACTATCAGATCTATAAATTATAAGGGAACTTCTAAAAGATATACTTTGAGAATAAGGAAGGCAAGTCTGAAATGCAGGAAAGAATGGTGAAAAATTGATTTTAAAAAAGTTGAATTTAAGGGCTGGGGATGTGACTCAAGTGGTAGTGCGCTCGCCTGGCATGCATGCAGTCCGGGTTCGATCCTCAGCACCACATACCAACAAAGATGTTGTGTCCGCCGAAAACTAAAAAATAAATATTAAAAAATTCTCTCTCTCTCTCTCTCTCTCTAAAAAAAAAAAAAGTTGAATTTAAGCAAACATTACCTATAGAAAATAATTATAAGCCAGGCTCAAAGGTGCATACTTGTAATCCCAACACTTCAGGAGGCTGAGGGAGAAG